ACAAGGTGGGCCTCATTCCAAACTAGGAAAAGGCCTGTTGGTTGCCCAGGCAACACAAAACCATATGGAGCAGCTGGGAAATGCAACAAAGGCCGAGCCGAGCCTGGCTGCCTTTTGTGAAAGACACTTCCCCTAAGAGCAGACCAAATTCTGACAGACAGCGGGGATGAGGCAGCCTCCGCCTTGGTGGGAATCTGGGGTCTACAAGTTCCAGAAAGGGCTTAATGGCCAGTCATGGCAGCCATTCAGCTTGGTACAAGGGGAACATTATTTTGCCTGTGAACATACAGCTTTTAATGACATGCTTGGACTTGACTTGCATTGGCAATTCTGTAAGAGGAACTAAGACAGGGCAGCTGCTTGCTCTGAGAGCCAGAAAGGTTAATCAGCAGTGGGTGAGAGCTGCAATTCTGCACCCAGACTAGAGTTAGATCACTATCAAATGAGTGGGGAAAGTGAAGCTCCTGTCTTGAGTATCTGTCTCTGGAGATGCTACTCTCCGTTGCTCAAGGGGGACCTTGACGTGTAGATTCACAAGAAAGTATGAGATTAAGCAAAGTCTTTTATGACTATTTTTGCGGTGGCATATACAGTGCTGATGTTCTGATTTCCTGGGTTTTTGAAGCACAACTGGAAACCAGAATGATCCTATGTTTTCACTTTAAACAAAGTTTTTTGATGATTGGATGCGCATGCCTTTTATTAAGGCTCTGTTTTATGAATAGATGGAACAGGAAGAAGTGAAAATCAATATAAGCTCAGGGTCTCATTACATTTTATACTTCTTTATGATATGCTTTAGTGCAATTCTGATCTGATGGCAGCATTAATTTTGCCAAAAATTATGTAAATGGTGCTGGGTGGTATTGTTTACAGATTCTACACATACCAACCTTTAACCTCATCATAAGGTAAGGTAGGATATAAGCAGTAACAAGAACCTTTCCTCAAATTTATGTCCCATTGTGATCAATGGCATTTACTTTCACAAATGTATCAGTAACATATTCAGAATAGTAATTTAGCTCATGAAATTAATACTTGCATCTCTCTCTCTCTCTCTCTCTCTCTCTCTCTCTCTCTCTCTCTCTCTCTCTCTCTCTCTCTCTCTCTCTCTCCATTTTAAGCAAAAGTGATAAGAACAAAGAACAGAAACTTTGGCTTGCACAGAAAAGGGGCCATTCAGACAAAACGGTCCCAAGACACCCTGCCAAGGATAAAGAGTTATTGGTCAAGGAACTTCTGCTCTATCCTCCCAGGTGATCTTTCATCCAGGCTTGCTATCCAAAATGAAAGAACGATCCCCATTTGCCCACCGATAGTACTTCTGACTGAAGGTAGCTGTGGAACCTTTCCTATTTAACCAGCCAACCCCAACAGGTGTTATTGCTAGCCAAACAAAGCAGTCCCACCACAGTGAGCAGGAAGCGTTTTTGGGCTCTGATCGCAATTTCACCATTCCAATTGCAAACCTTTTTCTGATATTCAGATTTTTTGAATTATACTTGGTTGGGAAGTATGCTTGAGTTTGGTCAAATATGAAGTGATTCTTCGTCAAATGTAGTATACTTGGGAAGGTAGTCCAAGGATTTGTATGTTTCAAGTGTATCACTTCAATATTATAAGCAATTGAGTTTTCAGGAGAAAAAAGCTTCAATATGAGCTTATATATGAGACCACTTTTAATAATAACAGAAATGAATACTACACTTATCATCCTCATTCAGAGGCATAATAGCCCACCAACAGATACGCTATATAAAAAGTCATGCAAGTCACATCCTCCCTGTTCCCTCCCTAATGTAGCTTTTGGCAGCCATGGCAGCCTGGGAGGATTAAAGGGCAGGAAAAGTGAGGTTGATAGGACTCATCCAGGACCATTATGTTGCCTGCATACCTAAAAATGCCCACTTGTGTTTCAGGGAAACCGGCAAAATATAAACTTATATAAACAGAGATAGGATAAAAAAGAAAATACTGTAATGTGGGATGATCCTATTCAGATGTTCAGGCATTCCATTCAATCTTCCAGCCTAGTTTTCTCTCCCTCTTTGCCTCACACATACTGTATAGTAGTTATCCTATATTAACATATTCTGTTTTCATTTGGCTGTTTTGGAAGAATTACAAGTCCCCAAGTTAAGGTTTTTGTCTATCTGTTTAAAACTTATGGTTTCCTAAAACGTGCTAATACAAGATCTCTGTGTTACACAATACACACGAGAATTCAGCAGGAGATGAAATGCTGATAATTGTGATAATCAGGTGAAATTTTATTCTTATTTTTGTTCTTTATTTTCATTCCTGTTTCCTTACTGTACTTTTTTTTCTGAATGGTTATAAAATTCCTGCTCAGTGTGTTAGGTTGTCAGCTCCTATCTTAAGTATCTTGGTTTAATTAAAACTTCAGCATAATCTTAATAATATTTGTACAGTAATAATCTTTCTGTCCGTATACCCTTATTGTATTCCCTTACTAAATGAGACAAAGCTATCAAGTCTTGGTTTGAAAATACAGGCAGTCTTTCTTTAGTCACTAAACCGAGATTGGCAATTTGGTCATAAAACAAAGCAGTGATCTCAATGACTGTGCTTAAAATCTTACTTCAGGTTTTGCTTTTCAGAAGATCATAAATGTGAGAATTGGTCATAAAGTTACTTTTTCATCACCATCATAACTATGAACCATTGTTAAACAAGGCAGTTGCTAAATGAGAACCACTTCTAGATACATTTTAATGTTGTTGGGGAAGGGAAATTCATAATTCAAACTTGTCAAACATGCTTTCACTGTGCAGAATACTCAAGCTTCTTTCCTGAAGTGGCTAGCATTTTTTTTTTATTACTAGTGAGTAGTTCTTTCAACTGAGTCCAAATGCAGAGGAATTTTTTTCTCTAAAACTATCTTTGCTTTCCTTTTTTTCCTATTCTCAAAATCTCAACATGCTTAACACAAAGTCCAAATTAACTAGAACTATTTAAAAAGAAGTCCAGTAAAAATGTTAAATGTTCTCTCCAGTGGAAATATTAAATCCCTATATCAAAAGTTATCTTATCCTAATATTATCAAATTTCCAATGCTACTGAAGTTAATTTGTTTGACTAAGAGTGTCTGTCAAAAAGGTTTTCAGCGTTTCTAAATATGTTCAAGTCATATTTTCTGTCTGAGCCAAGGCAATTAAATATATTCCTATATAAGCAAAATAAACCTGCCTGCCTGGCTAGAGAGACCAAGGAATTGAAGAACTCCAGTGGGTATAGCAATGCTGCCAAGATATATTTTGCTCCTTTTTAATAGTGGGTAGTTTTCTGTTATCCAGTAAGCTTATAAGGGGGCTATGGGAGTTTCCAAGCCATTTAACTAATGTTGACATGCAACACTCAACTGAGCCATACAGAGAAAAGAGAAAAGAAAAGATAGGTATTACATGATAATGCCAACAACTTGCTTAAAAAATGAAGTTAGCCTTCACTGAACCAAAACAAGAAAAAAGAAAGGAAGAGGGGAAGAAAGACCATTCCAAAGAGGTTGCGAAGAGGTAGTTAATTTGGAGATGGACTGGCACGATCTCACATTTTGGTATGGAGACTGGCATAACAGCATTTGCAAAACTCCTAGATTTTTCTTTAATAGAATGGTTTTAAATGCATTGAATGTAATATCTCTCTCTGGTACAGAGACTGCTGCATTGTGGTTATTAGGCTTATACCTGCTATCTGAACAGCTTGTTTCACCTGTCATATTAAACCATTGTTTCCATTATATAATTGTGATTTCTTGAACAGAACACAATTGGCTAGTTTCCTATGACACAAAGCTCTAAACCAATGATGGAGATCCTTTTGGATTCGGTGTGTCAAAAATTTGGAAAATGCCTACCTTGATTCTGCTGGTGTGTCAGCCCCCTCCCCCAAACATAAGAGAAACAGTTCTTTACATATTATTTTTTTTAAAAACATCTCAACTTCTCAACTTCTGCCATATACAGCTTAGAAAGAGGCAGTATTCTCTTTCTGCTGACAGGCCCCTGCAGCCTACCTGAGGCTGCTCCTGATTGCAGGAGGCCTTTGTTCTTGAGGTGGCTTCAGAAAACCTTCTTCTTCATCTTCTGCAGCTTTTGAAAACCAGGTGAAAGCACATCCTGTTCTTGTGCGATTTTTGGAGGCTACACAAGAGCCTCTGTGGTGCAGTGGTTAGAACGCAGTACTGCAAGCTACCTCGGCAGCCAGCTGCCTACAATTTGGCAGTTCAAATCCCACCAGGCTCAAGGTTGACTCAGTCTTCCATCCTTCCGAGGTGGATAAAATGAGAACCCCAAATTGTTGGGGGCAATATGCTGACTCTGTAAAACCTCTTAAAAAGGGCTATAAAGCACTGTAAAGTGGTATATAAGTCTAAGTGCTATTGCTATATCCCATTCTCATGTGGCCTTTGCTGTCCCCCCAAATTGTGCAAGAACAAGGCATGTTTTCAAGAATAGTTCTTGCCTGGTATATACTAGCATGTTACTCAAAATGTTGTGGCATGCCACTTTTGACACGTGTGTCATGAGTTTACCATCACTGCCCTAAACCATGATTCAGAAGTCACACAGCTTGCTGTATGGATCCAGTCTAACTGCTCCACCAGTTTCAAACATTAGTCAAAAACTACCACTGTGAAATCATGTCTGATTATTATCTTCCATGGAAATCTCTACCAAAAATGTGTTTTGTTTGCTTCTGATTTGGTTAGTTGTGTAAATCTTCTCACTGTGATTTATATAGTGGTTTATGCCCTATTTTTATATACTGACTCAGCCAATTATGTCCTATCACAATCAATATTTAAAAAACAACAACTCAGGTCATCTGATAAATTTTTATTTCTTTGAATGAGTTGAGGCACTCTTGATGGACCATCACTACCTTTTCCCTAACATTTTAAGACCACTCCTCCCAGCTAGAGACAATTTTTGAGTTCTGAAATCCACCAACTTAAATATGATCCTGTCACTCACCACAAGCTCACTAAACATAATATCCAGCTCCTCCACCGGAGGCATGGGTAATGCAGGCTCCATGGTTTGCAGGGCGAAATTGCTGTCATTCCGCAGCCGATACGTGATTTCTGGATGATCATTACTTCGGAAGCAGCAGAAGATAAAAGAAATCCCTCGCCCACTTCTTTTTCTCGGAGCCATGGTGCAATCCTTACTATCTTTCTTTCGAGACACTAAATCCTAAATGGGAACAAAAAGAGAGAGAGATTGAGAACAGATGGCAATTTTAAAGTTTTGATTGGTAACTATGCAGCAGAGCGTATGAGCTCATTTAGTTTTATAAACTCATCAAGATTTGATATTCCTCTGACCTTAACACTGATTGTCTCTTCAAGCCTTTGTTCTTTCACAAGCAGTTTTTATATCATATTGTTTTTATTACTCCTCTGACCTCCATGCTTACAGGTAACCTTCATTATTTCACATGTGTTTCTTGAAAACAAATGCTATTGAGTTATACTTACTGCTATAACTGGAGCATGACTTTATTGCTATTTACACAGGGTTCTTGAGACAAAGAGCATGCAAGCTTTTATATAAAGAAAATAGACAACTTAAGCCTCCCCCTCCATGGCCTCATAAAAATGACTTTTTGAGAAACTAGATTTTTCCATTATTCTTAATGTTATTTTTAGATTATGAACAGAAGAGAAATAGCAGGGTATATCCTGAACTGGTACTAACCATCAGCAAATAACTGAAAGACTTAACAGTTGAAGTAAACTTGTGCTACTGGAAAGTCTCCTGTAAAGCCTTATTTATCATGGTTGGTTCTTTAATCATTCACATTTTAAAAAAAAATCCCTGACACTTTTTTAAAGGAACAAACCATTTTTACTTTCAGAGTTGAGAGTTGCCTCTTTTCTGGAATTCAAAAGTCCTATTAAGTCATCCTGTCCTCAAACTGAGTCTCTCCAGCTGTGGGACTATAGCTCCCATCATCCCTTGCTAGGAGGCTATGTTTACAGAGGTTGAGGATGGGAGTAGTTATACACCCACACTACACTTGCACATGCTTCTACTTAGGACCACAATTAAGACCAGAATGTCTGTTGTTAAGCAAGGTAGTTGTTAAGTGAGTTGCACCCAATTTTACCACCTTTTTTTTTGGCCATGATTGTTAAGTGAATCAGCCCATCATTAAAGCAATCCAGCTTCTCCCATTGACTTTATTTGTCAGAAGATGGCTGAGAAGCCCACAAATGGTGATCACATGACCCCAGAATGATGCAACCATCGTAAATATATGCCGGTTACCAAGCATCCAAATTGTTATTACATGACCATGGGGATGCTGGGATAGTTGTAAGTCATTTTTTGCAACTTTGAAAGGTTGCTAAACAAATGGTTTTAAGTCAAAGATTATACTTGCTCTTAGACAAAAGCTGAGAAGCAATACAAGGTATGGCTATGAAAGTTCCTTGGTTAGGAAAAGCTAGTTTATATTCTGGGTTTTTCATGATTTGCCTCCTCATCTGTCTCACTTCTGCTGCTGTTTGCTCTGTATCATTGATTCATGAAAACCATAAACTATTAGTTGCTATTCAGCAAGCTCCTCTTTTCTCCATGCCACTCCCTGCTTCTCTAAAAACTGAATACAAGAATGGGAAAAATGCAAGAAGTTTGGCAAAACGTATGCTAAAGCACATATTCTGAAACACATTCAGTGTCAGTTTACACATGTATATGAAAACATGAAGTCAGATTTGAGGATGTATTATAACAAACTGAGAGCTGCAAAACAGATTAAAAATGCACTGCATATTCTTCACACGTATAAGCTTCCAAAGGTAGGGATTCAAATCAGTGGTGGGATTCAATTTTTTTAAACTACTGGTTCTGTGGGCGTGGCTTCGTGGGCGTGGCAGGGGAAGGAAACTGCAAAATCTCCAGTCAGAGGTGGTATTTGCCGGATCTCCAAACTACTCAAAATTTCTGGTACCGGTTCTCTAGAACTGGTCAGAACCTACTGAATACCACCTCTGATTCAAATAACTTAAAAATAGTTTGGGCAAAATCATGGGCAGCATGATTATCAATGATTAACCATAATGACTATATAACGTTGTAGTTAACCATGCCTCTGAGTACCTACAATTAAAGTCTGGAGCTACAGAATTTTTGAAACAAAATTCTGAACCTATCCAGCATGGATTCTTTTTAATTTTTATCCACTTATCTAGTACTTACTTTGGTATCATTCTGGCACTTTCCCCTCCAAGCAAAACACTATGATTTAAGCCATTTTTTCTCCTGATCTTATGCTCTAATTCTACTTTTCTTTACTGTTAAACAGTTTGTTTTTCTTTTTGTTATCAATATTTCACTATAAGAATATCTATAAATAGTATAAATGGTTTAAGCATTCATTCTGTTAAACATTCAGGTATGGGAAATGTGCTATGATTTAAAACTAGAAAACAGGAGGAGTATGTGAATCCAAAATGTAGCAGGTACTAAGAAAAAAAGCACAAAATTTGATCATATGCCAAAAATACTTAGTTCAATGCATTGCTTCTGAATTTTGCTGGCATTCCATGGAACATATTGAGAGTATTAAATTAACCCAAGTATGTCCTGAAAGAACTTGTTTCTGCATTTGGTATCCAGTCAAGATACAAATTTACACCCAATTCCCAGTCTGGTTATGGAGCATGTCCATTGCTGGAAGTAGCTGCTGTGTTCACCCATTAGAGTTGCAGACAAAATCAAAACTCTTCACAGAAAAAGAGAATATTTTGATTAGCTGCAAATTATGGTGACATAATTCACAATCTATTTTTCAGTGGTATGAAAGCAACATGGAAAATAACATGGAATGTCATGGAAAATAAATCAGCTTCTTGGAGAGGATAAATTGGAGATGCCATTATAAGTGCACAAGGGAATCCACAATCTCACTTCCAGACTCAGACCTGGAAATTCTGTCCAATATTTTCTTCTACTACACCCATGTATACAACATGAACCTCAGATCAAAAGTATGTCATATTTTAGAGGTATATACTGATTGCATATTTAAGATCTCAGGCAATCCCATAATTCTTGGGGACATCTAATTGAAACAGACGAAGGAAAGAACAGAATTGTCTGTTATAGAGAAGAACTATATTCAGAGGTCCAACCTCTGTTGCATATGCTGAAGGCTCTAAGTCAGTCAGTGACAGGTAATGGGCAAAATGTTTCCTTGGACAAGACCACAGAATAATGTTGCTCCCAAAGTAGAAAACACTGGATTAGATGATAGACCAGGGGTCTTTAAACTTGACAGCTTTAAGACTTATGGACTTCAACTCCCAGAATTCCTCCTCCAGTCATGTTAGCTCAGGAATTCTGGGAGTTGAAGTCCACAAGTCTTAAACTTGCTAAGTTTGAAGACCCTTGTGATAGTCAAAGGGTCTGTTCAGATTTAGTAAGATAGCTTGCTGTGTTAGCATGTAGCACTTATTTGCATGTTTCACTCTCCAGGTTGTCGAACTGATTTTTAAAAAGCTGAAGAAAAACAAATGCACTGTTTTGGAAGTCTTCCTGCCATGTTTGTTTGAGAGACACAGATAAAATATGGGTCTGAAAAGGATTATAATGCTGTGGCTTCTGTTGATAAAGAGCTGAAAAAAAATCCTAGCAACCTGAACAAATAAGCATCTAAAATGCTTCCAACCTTATGAAAGAAAGTGAGCTAGCAAAGGCAATCTTCTTTTTGCCAACAGCTACCTCAGGATGCATAGCATGTAAGGGGCCTGTTTAGCTCTAGCTGTATTTGGTAATGATTTAATTTCAACCCTCAACAGAGACAGAAAAGTCATGATTATTTTAACTAATGCGGTTCTGTAGACTCTGCAGAAATTCTGCAAAGCATTGCACAAAAAACTTGCATCTAATGCTAGTTCAATCAGCCCCCAAAAATGCCGTTTGCCAGCTCATAAATCCAACTGCACAGGTTGGACAGATATTTATCTGAAAAATTCAACATGAAAGAGAACATCTCAAATTTGGAAAGGGAATGGCCAACTTAATTGGACCTGACTTATGGATCAAGTCACTTCACCCCTAGCTAACCTCACCAAGCATTGTGAGAAATATAATCACATGATAAATGAAGTGTGTCTACCCATGGGATAGATTAATCCCTGTGATGTTTTGAGTGCACATGCCATGTCTGTTGATTCATATGTCCATAGGTGTAGTAATTAAATTTGTGCTATAGATTGGATTTAAATATGATAAATATGCATGAAATCAAATCGCAGATTTGGAAGATGTGAATTAGGCTATTAAGTCTAAGACCCTGCTCAGTGCAAGAATCCAAATCAAAATGTCCCAAGTGGTGGTTGTGAGTCTGTGCTTGAATAAATCTGATTCAGGGAAGCCCACCACTTTTCTGGGCAAATGGATGTCTCAGACTGTTATTGCTTTGCTGAGATCTTTCCCCCCCCCCCTCCTAACAATCAAATAGAATCTGCTGCCTTCCTGTGACTTATATTCATTATTCTGGTCCTTATGTGAGAAAGCAGCTTTTGATCTTCTTCTATGTGGTATGCTTTCGGTTACTTAAAAAGTGCTACCATATGTGGTACTCCTCTTTGTGTGTGTGTGTGTGTGTGTGTGTGTGTGTGTGTGTGTGTGTGCGTGCGCTTTCTATTATGTTATGAGCTCTTTTTCCTGATATTTGTATTATTATTACTTTCTTATTGGTACTGTCCATGGGGTCACTGAAGCAGTCGGCGTGAACTTAAATGGACTCCAGGAGATGGTAGAGGACAGGAAGGCCTGGAGGAACATTGTCCATGGGGTCGTAATGTGTCAGACACAACTTCACGACTAACAACAATAAGCTCCCCAGAGACTATGGATTTGGGTGTGCTACAAAAACTATACAAATAATATATTTTTACAGTACTTAAGTTAGTATTATAATCATCCTTTTTGTCCTTCTTCTGAATGTGTTGTAGTTTATGTTCTGGATCCTGTTCTAGTTTCTCTGAATTCTGACCAACAATGGAACTAATAAATCCCAACCCATGACTCAGAAACTATATTGCATTCGGAAACAACACTAATAATTAATGCAAATAATCCATTTACATTTTTGGAACTGCCTCAGAGTGCTGATTCATTGTAAGATTTGAGTACATTCTTTTTTTCGAAATACAACTTCAAGCACATATCCTATACCTCTA